ATCGAGTCTGGTGGCTTGCGGTATATACAAAATTTCTTTATACAAGAAGCACTATGTGCCAGGACAGCACATTGTGGTAGTGGTTGTTGTGTTGCTGCTCCAGATCTCCTTGTCTAACTTGTCTAGCTAGGCTCAGAGTAAAGCCTTCATATTTTAGTCTCTTGACCCAGGCTTATCTATCCAAGGTCTAACTCATAAATATAAACAACAGTAATAATGAGAAGTGACATCTTTGCAGAGCTCGTTCAGGATGGCTGGCAGTCAATGTACAATACAATAGGGATATAAATTGGGATAAGCATCTTAAAAGTTATGGCAATGACGTGATGCTAGACATATACATGTCATGGCTACAGGGTATTTCGCTTCTGGAATATAATGCTCATTCAATGGTTGTCCTCAACAGGCCACTATGACAACTCCACAGCCGATCGCGCATGTACCTCACAGTTGACCCCACTTCGTATATCCCTGCCAGTTGACCCACAGTCGACCTCGTATGTCCCTCACAGTTGACCCACAGTCGACCTCGTATATCCCTCACAGTTGACCCACAGCCTACCTCGTATGTCCCTCACAGTTGACCCACAGCCTACCTCGTATGTCCCTCAAAGTTGGCACATAGCCGACCTCGTATATCCCTCACAGTTGACCCACAGCCGACCTCGTATGTCCCTCACAGTTGACCTGACCTCGTATGTTGGCCAAGTTAAGGCAACGTCTTTTATTACATATTGACTTATACATAAGACTTATTTCGATAAACAGAAGGTTGATCAGTTACCCAGACGTCAAACTTGGCAGATGCTTACTCGGTTCCACACAAGGGTAATTTGAGGCAGTACCGTTACTCTCCTAGGTACTTTCAGGTCAGGTCAGTCGGGTTATTCAGGTCAGGAAAGGTCAGCTACTTCTACCCAGACTGGTTCGAAGTCGAGTAGTTCGTTCTTTAAGAAATCAGATGTCCCAGTTGGTTCGAAACAGGATTAAGGTTTGTCGTTGTAGGTATTGTCACAGGCACCCGGGATGTCATTAACACTCAGGTTGAGTTGTGTTTGTAGTGTTCAGCTATCAAAATATGATGGTGTTAGTGAAGAATACTTACCTTTTATATCGAAAGGTTTTGTGTCACTTAAAGGTGATAATTCCACATTGCGTAACCATTAATATTCTGGTGGACACAGGGCCCTCCCGACTTTACTGCTAGAGGGCGTTCTGCCATTATCGGACCCTTGGGTCACCACACCTCGACAAGATCGGCAGATTACCCGTCAACACCAGCGACATCCGTTCCTAACTGCAAGTGAAAGTGCTCGGCAGACCATAGGAACACATAATCGACACATTAGCCGGGGCACTGTGATCCGACGTCTCCGTTCCAACAACCTCAGATGTCGCCGACCAGCACGTCGTCCTGTTCTCCAACCACGGCATCGACAAGCACGACTTCAGTGGGCACAGGGCAATCACAATTGGCGTCATCGTGAGTGGAGGCGTGTCATCTTCTCTGATGAAAGTCGCTTTTGTGTCTCCAATGCAGACGGAAGAGTCAGAATTTGGCGGCGTCGAGGTGATCGTTGTGGAAAGGGATCCATGGGGTGGACCTAGCGTCATGATATGGGCAGGGATTGGACTTAATGCGATACTTGGACCCATGTGCTTTCTGAATGTTGGTCAAGGTCGGGGACACGGCGTCACTGCTCAGCGGTATATCGACCAAGTGATCAGACCCCACGTTGTTCCATTTTTTGCACTACATCAACAACGCATTTTCCAGCAGGACAACGCTCGTCCCCATGTTGCCAGAGCTACCACAACATCACACAACACAACATCCGTGTTCTACCGTGGCCAGCCCTCAGCCCTGATCTGAACCCCATCGAACACTTGTGGGATGAGGTTAAAAGGCGTCTGCACAATGTGTGCCCAGTCCATACAACTGCCGATGAACTACATGGATGTGTGCAGGAGGATCCCTAGGGCCTTCACAAATCGTCTGATCCATTCAATGTACAGGAGATGTGTGGCAGTGACCAATGCTAATAGTGGTCACACCATATATTGACTGACATTTTGGGTATTGACCCGAAACTGTGTAAGCCCTTAACATTTGAAAACAACAATTATGTCATCTGCCTTTTAATCCATTAAACTGTCTTCAGTCAAACTTTTGTCAATCTTGCACTATTAGTATTTCTTGTCTTTACTGTTGAAAATAAATAACATGAATACTGCATACTCGACTTGCGTTTCTTTTGCGTGTGAGTATATTTATTGATCTTGTGTGACACTTACTGATTGCACAGTTTAGTGAGTGAGTATGGTTTTACGTCGCTTTTAGCAATATTCCAGCAATATCACGGCGGGGGACACCAATAATGGGCTTCACACATTGTACCCACATCGGGAATCGAACCCGGGTCTTCGGCGTGACGAGCGAACGCTTTAACCACCAGGCTACCCGACCTCCCTCACAATTTAGTACCGTAAGTACAAATGTCTGGGTTAACCTTCGCGTTTCAACTTGGGAATCAGGTGGTAATATTGGTTTTAAACAAAGAACTCCTAACGTGATGGTGTAAGGTGAATGTGGATGCATACGTTAGTATATAGCAATGTATAACCGGCATAATGTATTGGTTTTGAATATGCCAGGAAGTAAATTGACTCGAAAATGTTACAATATGTTGATGGTATATGAAATGATGGAGCTAGCTAGTGGGCATATAGTGTTAATGTTAACTGTTAACGTGATCAAATGTGATCAAATGTGATCAATAAAAAAATCCCGATGTTATTTTATTGTCGATAAGACAGACTCTCACAGGTGTGTACTTTCAAAAATGGAGATAAACTGTGAATATTATAAGCTTTTTGAATCTCATATGTGATAAAAACATGAAATTCAATCTTGTTTTCTTGATTCTATATTCCTATTTCCTATCCTTGTTTCTTTTTTCTCATGAAGTGTAAACATTAGATTGACGGTAGAAAGAAAGAGTTCACTAAGTCTATGGCTGTACCTGTCCCTAAGGTGACGCAGTTATTTCATAATACAGCTATGTTATGTAGATTGGGCTTGTTTACTTGACATTACATGTACATTTGGCAACAATGTAAATTACAACACGAGGTTAAGTTGGAAATAAATACCAAAGTAGCCCAACTGCAATAAACCTATAGCCAAACGAAATATTCAGACCTAAAAATGAATTCTAGGTCGTATGATCACATAGGTTTACGAGTAGGTATTTGTTCGAGCAGCGGCAGAAGTAGCTTTAAAAGTAGCCCTCTTTGTCAGGGTGCGTGGTGACCTGACCAGTGAAACTCTTTTCAGCTAGACAATTAGGAAGAACTTGTTGTATTTAACGCGTATTCACTATCAGTCTCACACATCGGACTATCGAACGGCGGGAACAATATCAGAGCACTTGGTTTCATCAATGCCAGACACCGATCACTCTGAAACACTTCTCTTCAGAGCCTTAGCGACTGAACAAACACCTCCTTATGCCAGTGTTTATATGTCAGTGAGTGTATGTAGATTAACACATCGATTGAAGAAAGGAAGTTTGTTTAAATTTGAAAGATGTTAAAATCGTCATGTTACATGTATGTTAACACGAAAACATACAGTAACTTCATTACAACCGATTGTACATGACGGACTTGCGCGCTCAATATATAAGGTATAGACTCAGCATTAGGGGAATCCTATACACATCTTCACAACACTGCATATCTCAGTTCGAGTTCATTTCATACACATTCACACAGCAGATTAATTTGTGCCTAAATAGAATAATCTAGCATGCAGTACTACGCGGTATTTCGGTAACAGATTACAATGGGTTGTACATGCTGACAATATATACTGAACACCAAAAGAAACGCGAAAACATAAAATGTTTATGTGAATATAGAACCAAGAGAAAGCATGTGAAGACCGGCATATGAATAATAGTGACCACTAATAACGCCGCCTTTCGGCCTTTGAAACTGCGCGAAACACCATTGGAATCCATGTAAAGCCTATCAACCCTAACACCGTGAGGCGTGGTTTGACAGAAGAAGCTGTTTGTGATGCAGGGGACCAGCATGAGATCCAGAGTTGACTCAACGTCATCTTCAGAAGAAACGTCAGTGGGCTTTGAACCATGTAAACTGATGAAGGCGAGTTCTTTTCTCTGACATAGCACAGTAATTATACACATGATTCGCGTCTCTTTTGGTGTTCAGTATATACCGAAAAAGATCGTCAGTTATCTTCAGTTGACAAATTAACACTCACTTACCTGAGTTGGTAAATGTTATTGTAATGGAAGCACTCTGTGGGCATGGGGAATAGCAGATTGGACGCCAATAGCAGTCTGACTTCGCTCATGTAGATGGGCGAGGATAAGAGAAAAAATGACGGAATGCAAATTCCCTGCCGGAGTTGTTACTGACATTGCTGGTTCTATTCCCATGGAAGCCCACATTGTGTCTTGTGTATATGTCCATGGTATTTTCATGCTTCATAACAATCAATTCCATTATTATACACGTGATGCGTCCTAGCGCTACATGTTGCTCACCGGGACCGCAACAAAACATGTAGGACAGGTCGATTGAATTAGGACAATATCCCCGAAGAGCAGCCGGCGTTTACCTGGACCCGACAACGACACAGATCGATTAGGCTAGGGCGGCGTTTTATCATCCCGGGTCTGATACTGCTATCGACACACCGACTACTGTTTCATAATCATAATTGCAATAGTCAATAAACGCGTGCCGATCAGAAGCACCCTCGAGCTACTGTTTGACCGAATATCTCAACATGTCCAACACTTAATCTATGAATGACCTCTGTTTATTCTCACTATTGATGACGACTCTTTATACACGGAGAGCTTCCTAGGGACGATTGGAAATGGAAGTGCGCCCAGTATTAGTTTCTTCAGTATGATTAGACACAAATGGAGGAGAACACCTGTTACGTTATTTGCTTCCTATCGATCGCCTCGTGTGCGCATGCTCATCCCAGGTATCGCCCTGCCTGTGCTGAGTGGTTAGGTTGGAGTTGCTGAGATCGACGCTGATACCCACAGAGACGATGGCGCACAAACAGCCACATGCTGCCAAACCTGCAGCAAACTTCCTACGTCAGTTCAGGGATTTAAAAACAAGAGATCTGAAACAAATATCGGCAACTCAGTTTATGGATGTATGGAACCATTACGATAATGACGGTAAGTGTTCCTGCAATTGCAAGTTTCACTGAAGCTCGTCATGTGTTGACAAGCTCCTATACTTTGATGATCCATCATAAGCCAAGTTACATGTTACTATGAAATCTCAACCGATACTTTCCTCAGTAATAACAAAAAGTTGCAGTATATTTTCTGTATATAGTTTATGAGCTGGGGTCACCATATAGGTGTGGAGATAGTGTGCACATATATACACATAACATACCAGATGACACAGTAACAGAAGTCCTCGCTTGATAATCAATATATATATTCACGTATATTGGACGACGCTACCTGGTTGATGGAAGTAACATACGACCACTGACTCGTAAAGGCTATACTGTGGTCTACTGGGCTTTGTGCCTTCATTGATTTTTTTCGATTTAGCTTGAAAATCATTAGCCTGCATCAGCAGACATTGTCATCTGCATAATGGTGGACGGACTGGACTGCTAGTTTGTGGCCAATACTTGTTCCGACTTGACTTGACAAGCTTAAGAAGGTCGACATCCAACATCACAGCATCACGGCTGTTGAAAATGTCTCCAATATAGTAAACACTGTTTTTATGGCGGTAAAATGACGTCTTGTGGAACTAATGCCAAGTTTAATCAATGCGATGATAACTGGAACAAGTAATTACTGACATAATAACACTTGAATGGAATAATCAATAGCGACAGCTGTTGTAGTCTAGTTTACTTGATAACAACGGATATAGGTATGTAAATGAATCTGCAACAAGAGCAGTAGTACGGAGGGGTATGTTTGCATACGAATAATGAACTCAAAATACAAAACAATACGAATGAACAACTCGCAAACAAAAGACGTCATATGTAAAGAAAGAACGATGTGTACTAAAGAACGCCAGTGCACAAAGAGGACGCTAAACTACTACAAGGACAACGCTGACAATATAGAACGCCGTGTATATGATCAATGCATGCCGAAGTGCTCAAAGTATTACGTCACTACTCTGCGTGTGACGTCATATGTATATGTTATATATACATGTATATAATGTGTATATATTCTATCTATATATGTTGCGTTTATATAAGTACGTGTATGTTTAGTACACAATTTTCAATAAACACTCGTTTAACTAATTTAAAGCTTAACAAAGTATAATGACCAATGAAGCAATGACATGTTCATGCATGGCCCAAAGAGGTGTCATGATGCCGAGTTATTTTTCTGACGCACTTTTTCATAAGATCTGAAAAGTGAATATTGTGCAATAATATTGCGCTTGCGCGGCACTGGGTTTACCTCAGAACACATCAGAACTTTATTTTTCTCTGGCCGAGAGCATCGGCATATGAGGTACAAACAGTCCATGGCGACGGACAGAGGTTAACCGGGAGTTTTCACAATTTTTACTGTAATGTTAATAAATTTATATATTTCTTTTGGACATATATCTATGGCAGTTAAATAATTGCTGGCTGGAGTTGTAACACATTTGGTCTTTTTGAATAGTGTTTTGGAATGTACATTTTCCTTTGTTCATTGAAAATTTTGTGAAATTCATCTCCAATGTCATAACTATCACACAATTTGCAATACACAGTCATGCAACGGAGTTCTATTTCCATCTTCTAATTTCTATTGGCAGGTGGTTACAAGATGTCCTAAAGTAAAGTTATTTAAAGGAGAAGGGGGTTGGAATGTCGATTATTGTTTCAAGTTTAATGTCGCCTTTAAAAAGTATGTGGAGCATTTACTAGAATTTGAAATTTAGGATGCCCAAACGAAAACTTTAAATCGAAGCCCAACACATGTATGAATCTATGTGTGTGTGTGTGTGTGTGTGTGTGTGTGTGTGTGTGTGTGTGTGTGTGTGTACGTATGCATATATATATATATATATATATATATATATATATATATATATATATATATGTGTGTGTGTGTGTGTGTGTGTGTGTGTGCGCCATATAAATTATCAAGCAGCGGTACATGTTCAGGAAACATATTACATGTGTTGTAATACACATTCTCCTGAGAGAAGGATTCAGTGTCGGAAGTACTATCACTTCCTGTAGGGAAGGGGTCAGCTTAGAATGAACACGAAAGAGTCCAATAATGAAATGGTTGATGGTGAGATCGAAGGCATCGACTTATATACTGAACCGCAAAACAAACGTCACCCCAAGTAACATTGCATGAAAAGTTGTCATTTAAATATCTGGGTAATTTTTGTCAAAGTTTCTAAAATTTAATATTACCTTGTGAAAATGAAAATGAATTTGATGATAAAAAACAAAGCAGACTACAATAAAACCGATCGCCCAAACGCATCACGTCAACGGCCATGGTAACCCGATGCACGTGAGTTCCGTACAAATTGAATGCACATGCGTTTCCCAATTTCTTGCCCTATAAAAATCCAACCAGATCGGATAACATTAATTCGTTATTGAATTCCTACCACATGCCAAGATTGACAAGACACCAACCCCTTGGACGATTGCAAGCTGGACAAACCGACCGACAAGTAGTCATTGCATTTCAAGTCCACGTAAGGACCATATACAGGCTCCAGCAACGATACCATACCACCAACACTACAGATGAACGACCACGTAGTGGAAGACCAAGGGTCACCACCCGGCGTCATGATCGTCAGATTGTGCGACAGCATCTTCAAGATCACTTTGTTACTGATGCGGAAACTGCTCGACAGACCATGCGACACACCAGCGACACATTAGTGCGGACGATTGAGCAGACATCTCCACTGTCACAGGCCACACCGAGGACCCATTCTGACATCACGTCATCGCCGGAACCGTCTTCAGTGGGCAACACAGCACCAGCATGGGCGCCACCAGCAGTGGAGAAGAGTCCTCTTTTCAGACGAAAGCCGTTACTGTATCTCAACAGCAGATGGAACACAGAGAGAGAGAGACTCTCGTGGGATGGTCCGATCATTATGGTGTGGGGTGCAATTGTTCTTGCACAGGGGGTCGGCCCTGTGGTCTTCCAGAACATCGGTCCAGGGAGAGGTAATGGTGTTACAGCAGCTGAATGACGTCCGACCAAGGTCGACAACTGCAGCTGAATTGCGTCAGGCGTTCCTCAGAGTGTGGGCTCAAGTGCCTATGGCCTTCATCAACCGCCTCATCCATTCCATGTATCGACGTTGCACGGCAGTCATCAATGCACATGGCGGACATACTGGATACTGATTTGTGATGCCATTTTCTCAGAGACTAGTGTTGTGTTTCACTTTAAGAATATTTGACACTTTAATTTCAACCTTGATGATCAGTTTCACCTTTTTTAATATGTCTCAAAGTACGTTTACAGTGTTTGGACAAATAAGGTGTCTTATATATCTATCCATGGTGACGTTTCTTTTGCGGTTCAGTATATGATAACGTGGTACATATCTGTATGCGCAGAAAGCCACCCGTAACAACAATATGACCAGATCGAGGATAATAAAATAACATCACAATTAAAAATAATAAATTATGTTCCCATCATCGTGTCTGCACGGGGTATTCAGGGTCGTGCTGTCTGTGTTGGTATCGGTATGTCATATTCATTGTGTCTGCACGGGGTATTCAGGATCATGCAGTCTGTCCAGTGTCGGAGGCATGTTACAGTCATTGTTTCTTCACGGGCCATTCAGGATCATGCAGTCTGTCCAGTGTCGGAGGCCTGTTATAGTCATTGTTTCTGCACGGGGTATTCAGGATCATGCAGTCTGCCCAGTGTCGGAGGCCTGTTACAGTCATTGTTTCTTCACGGGCCATTCAGGATCATGCAGTCTGTCCAGTGTCGGAGGCCTGTTATAGTCATTGTTTCTGCACGGGGTATTCGGGATCATGCAGTCTGTCCAGTGTCGGAGGCCTGTTATAGTCATTGTTTCTGCACAGGGTATTCAGGATCATGCAGTCTGTCCAGTGTCGGAGGCCTGTTATAGTCATTGTTTCTGCACGGGGTATTCAGGATCATGCAGTCTGTCCAGTGTCGGAGGCCTGTTATAGTCATTGTTTCTGGACGGGGTATTCAGGGCCAGGGTCTGTTTTGATTAATACGAGAATAAATGTCAATGTCATGCATCCACCATCATTATATTATCATTCTTTAGTTACCATCGTTACTAGTGTTGACGATGATCAATACAAATGTGTCATATATCCGTTACCTAACTGTGAATGGTAACATATTGCAATGGCCAATGTCTTGCTATCGACCTGAAACAGCTATTGTTTCTGCACGGGGTATTCAGAGCCTGAATGGATGTTTGATGCTTTAAATACTGAAACAGAGTTAGTTTTTACACTAAAACTGATCAAAACCTAGAATGCTTTCGGGGAATTAGCCACGGGATCAACACACCTTCATGCAACTCCCTGCTATTGCTCTCTCTCAACTGAAGATATATTTTACCCAGCCTCCTTCAGTTCTTGTAGAAATTCCACCTCTCACATCACCCATCTCCATCCTGTCAATCTAGCCTTACTACAACATTTCTTTGATGACTCTGCCCTCTCCAGTATAGCTGGGGATACCAATTTTAGAAAATCAATTAATTTCACAATTCCAAAATTTAATATATTTTCCCATGCCATTTCCAATGTTTTGGCTAACGACAATCAAGCCCACCTCAGTTTAAGACGTGTTGCAGAGAGTGCTAAAAAGGATCAAACAATCTTTCAAACAATTGCTGAGCCACTGCTTGATGCTCAAATCAGTCTTCCTCCAAGTTCCTGGCTTGATACGAATGCTATTCTAGCCTTAAGCGCCTCAATTGCATCAGGTGTGTATATAATTTTGGTTGTTTGGATGTTTTTCAAAATTCGAACTCTATCAGCAGCACTCATGTTAGTCACTCGCGTTGTCCCCACCAAAGCAGTGCAACCACCAGCTCTTAATTATAATGATCATGCCACTGCTAGTACTCCACCCACGGACTTTGTCATCACAGATCTTGCTGACTACCATGTCTCAATCCTTCTCGGTTTTATCACACTTTT